ATCATGACCTGAGCCCAAGTCAGCCGCCCAACCGACTGAGCCACGCAGGCACCCCCCAAAAAAACTATTTTAAAGCAACTTGTATGTATGAAGACTTTCCAAAGCATTCAACTTGGTTTTCACAGAAGCAACAGCTCTCTTCACTTTTGGTCCTGTATTTCATCATTTCTAGGCCATTTAATTCACCTGTAAAATTATAATATCAAGTCCAGCTATCATAAACAAGTTTAGAAACATGTACAATTGATACTTGCTAAGCATACGACTCAACGGGTAAGATCAGAAGTGCTTGGAACATAGTAGAGAGTAGCTTTCCAGCAAATGAACCCCAACATAAGCTAATATATATTATAGAACAAATGGAGAATCCTGGTTAATCTGGCCAGCTAAGTGGAGGACAGCTAAGAAAGCTTCTACTGTTCAACTAAACTATCTTGGTCATGATACGATATCTATAAAGGAATTTAGAAGCGACTTTGGCTCTAGAAAAAACAACAGCTGCATTCCCATGACTGTTCACATTCAATACACTTGTTAGGAGATAGGAGAGAGACAGACAGCAAAAGCTAAAATAGAGTGGGGAGTTGACTGATCTAGTCATTTTTGTATGAACTCTTGAATTTGAGGAAGTACTAATCGATAATAGCAGTGGGTTGATTTTCTTCCCTTCCAGTTTAATTTTGTGTGGGTGATAAATGGAAGATAAACAGGGAATAGGGAGGCTGTGCCTATTCTTAGAAAGAAGATACCTTTCAAGTTAAGATTTGAGACTCTGAGATGTGATTAGAAGGTTTTCTAGCCAGTTTTGAAACAGCACCATGAAGCTGTAGGAGGAGTATTTTTATATAGCATCATTCATCCTAGTTAGTGACCCAACTGATTAAAGGTTTGGGAAATTGCCCCTCTAAATATGGGCTAAAGGAACAGGGTTTATTTAGCTTAGAGAGAGAGAGAGCAGGCATGCTGAGGGGGACTTAATAATAGTCTCCAAGAATATGAGGGATAGTCTATGAGTGATGGAGAGCAGCTGTTTCCTGTTTCCACTGAGGACTGGGTAAGAAAGAATGGAGTTACACTGCAACAAGTCGGTTTAAGACCTCCTTGGCCATAAAGTTTGAGACAGCAAACCCACAAGACCAAAGCCACCTCTCTGTTTCCGAAGTGGGCAGCTAACTAGCTGTCATTCTTGGGTGGTTTAAATGGGCTTGTTCTTGAGCTGGTGAGAAGACATAGAGAACCTCTCAGTCCTATGAGAATATGAAGTTGTCTGCTGTCGGAACCTCCTGGTGTTTTGTGGCCGAGGGACCACTTACTAGAAAATGAGATTTAAGAAAGAAAACAAGTTTCAGAATCTTCTCGCTCCATTTTGGTCTGCTTTTAAAGCAAGATCATCTAAATTTACCTCTTCTTTCTAGGTGAAGAATTTCCATAGACTTGCCAGTCTGTGTTTTCCCTGCTGAGTTGGTCAATGTGGTGGTTAAAACAAATTCTGTGTCTTCAGTGGGACTCTCTATATATTTATATCAGAGCTAGATATCATAGACATTTGATATATTTTATATATGCAAAATATGTAATTAATACAACAACAAAAGCAATGTGCTGATTAGGAGCAAAGCCAATAAAAGCATTATGAAATAATTCATCATTATAGGAGGTTGACGAGGGGAAGAAATTTAACATCAGAAAAATGAGTTCTGGATTTGCTACTGATTTTTTAAAATCTTTTTTTAATGTTTACTTTTGAGAGAGAGCGCGCACGCGTGCGCACGCGTGCAAGCGGGGGAGACACTGGGCCCCACGTTGACAGCAGAGAATCAGATGCGGATCTAGATCCCACACACCAAGAGATCATGCATGACCTGAGCCGAAGTTAGACACCCCACTGACCGAGCCACCCAAGGGCCCCTGGATTTCCTACTAATCTTTAAGCAGTGAGGCAGATGGAAATGCTGAAAACTTCTCAACCATTGTTATATCATTGTTATCCTAGGTTAGATTAATCATACCATTAATTATGAATTGGATGTGTAGTGTCTTATTTGCCCAACTGGGAGTGTTTTCAAAACATGGTTTGATTTACAGAGAAGTGGACTGCTTTTAAGCTGTACCTTTAAAGTTATAGGTTTATGACTGCATTAACTGTGTGTACATTCCACACGTTATGTTTCCGTCTTGTACCAACATTTATTATAATCTTATTAAAAAATCGCTGCTTCTATCACTGAATGTTTTTTGTTACCTGGAAAGGGGTAAGCATGAATCATGATTCAAAACTGACCCCCATAACTCTTTGGCCTTCAAAATCCAGCGCTGAAACAGGAAAATTAGGGGATTGTTTTGAATCTTCTCTCAATACGTGTTCACCATGAGGCACTGCATGAGTTACTTAACCTCCCCAGGTCTCTGTTTCCTCAATCTACTTTACAGGAATGTTTTGAGGATTAAATGAAATGAAATCATGTGTGCCAAGCCCAGAACCCAGTGAGCACAGCCCTCAAGCCATGTTTACTTGCTTCCTTTAATTCACAAAGAACATCTCTTGCCTGTGGTAGAATCACGATTGCCTCTAGATTGTCTTCAGTTAGTGGGGGTTTGTTGAACCTCCGGGGCAAGACCGTAGAGTAGGTTTTGTCTAAAATTCACTGAAGGCCCCCCAAAATTCAATTGTGTGAATGTCTCTCCTTTTCTAAATGTACTTAATCCAGAAAAAGGTCGACCATAATGCCAAATATCTTAGGAAGCGTTTGTTGCAAAAGTACCTGAAACAAATCATGTATACCCAGGGAAGAAAAGTTCATTTTGAAATCAGCAAGAAGAGTATGCATTTTTGTTTTGCAAGGTTTAAAGGAGAGTAAATAAGTCTTCTGGGTATTCAGAGAGTCATGTAAGATACAGTGATTAAATTGAGTGCAGTGCTTTGAAATGGCATCAAATCAAAGATGTGATCATGGCCATGGGGAAGCTTATGAACTTGATGGAGAGACTAAACCTACATGTATGAAATGAGCACAGAGTAGTTAGACTTAATATCAGGAGGGGCAGGAATCACATAATAGGGCTTGAGACCCCAGGCACTAAGGAAAGGCAAGATACAGGTTTGGGTAGGGATTTAATAAAGCTCTAGGAGACCTGGGATCTTGGTTTGACTGGTTCATAAAACACTATCATTTAAAGACAGACAGAATTTTTAAAAACCACATAAAATATTCACTTCCTATAGAAACCCTATAGTTGCTCTTTATGTATTTGAAATAAATGAATCCTTCTGAAGTCTCAGTGTTCAGGCTGATTTGCTTTCAGGCTCTTAATACACACTGCCAGACTGCTCCTGCCCAAATTCATTCTTGGTCTGTGGGATATGGAATATCTTTATAAATCATAACAAGTCACATTGAGAGTAAAAATCCCAGCTAGAGATTTACCTCAAAAGCTGAGGCATGCCACATATATTAATGTTGGTGGATTTAGAAACCAGGGTGAGACCTTTTTGTCTTTATTAGAAGGAGATTTCTAATTCAGAGCCTTCCAGAGTGTGGGCATGGATCCTCTGAACTGGCCCGCTCCTCCTGTCCCTCCCCACCTTCCAGCTCCCCAAATTTAAAAAAAAAATGGAGAAGCAGAACAACAAAGCCATTAACTTATTGGAATAGAATTTATGGCTGAAATCTTGCAAAGCTTATATCAGCAAAGTAAAAATAATTACTGTCACTTTCTTTTAGACACTTGGCTTTAAGGTTCCTGTCACCTTTATCCTAACACACAGATGACTTAGTAGCTCTATTTTTCATGGCAAATGGCCTGGTGTTATGTTTTTATGCTCACGGCCATGCTATTAAATGACAATACATGGGGATGATACCAGAGTGGAGCTACGTTTAGATAATGAATTGGAATAGCGTTAATGGTTTTGGGTTAGGCATGCTGTCCATATGCCAGCTGAGCTTTTTCCTTTCTCTCTCCTTTCCTTCCCTAGATTCTCAAATCCAAAGACTTAACGTCTCCAACCCAGCGCTACATTGACAGCAAAGTCGTGAAGACAAGGGCAGAAGGCGAATGGCTTTCCTTCGATGTAACTGACGCCGTTCACGAATGGCTCCACCATAAAGGTTTACAACCACCCTCTGTGTTCATCCCTAGCTGTTCGGTGACCTTAAGTTATTGTAAGTTGATTGCAGATTTAAGGGTATTGTCACACATCCAAATGACCTCCTTGACTTCATGTTTTCCAGACAGAAACCTGGGATTTAAAATAAGCTTACACTGTCCCTGCTGCACCTTTGTGCCATCTAATAATTACATCATTCCCAATAAAAGTGAAGAGCTAGAAGCAAGATTTGCAGGTAACTGAAACTTGGTCATTTGAGGTGGGGGAGGGAAGGGCCTATATTGATAGTCTCATGGGGGACGAAATCAGTTTGCAGGTGAAATCGGGATTGTTTGGTGAGGCCTGGGGAGTTTTAGTTGTGTGGGTAAAAAAATGGTTGGATAAAGATATATAAAGGCAGAAAGGATTGGGACAAAGGAATTGGTTCCCTGTTTATGTTGCTCAGTGCCCGGTGATGACCGGGCAGTAGTAACTGGCTGATTCATCAACTTCCCAAACTATTAGTCTGTTAACCCGTTTGGTCTTCATTTAAGCGAACCAACTTTCCACCCGTGCTGGTATTATAGACGACGATAGCAGACATTCAAGGAAATCCATTGATAATGCCCCAGACCCAATGTCGGGAGCTCACAACTGTATTTCACAGAAGGGAATCTCTTCACACCACAGCCTCTTTAACTAACCTTATACGGATCAGAACACTCCGCCTTTCCTAGCAAACGGCTTCCTTATCAGACTTTTATAATCATTTAAAAAACACATAACTATAAGTCTTTAGTTTTCCCCTATTTTGCTTCCCTCTTAGTGATTAGCCAAAGTTCAAGGAGAGTGAAGAGATACCAAGGGTTTGAGGCAACTTCTCTTATTAGATAACCAGTTTGGAGATAAGCGTTAAGAAGGAAGTGTGCTGCGGGCTAGTGCTGTATGGACTCCATACCACCGCATCTGGGAGCTGAGGTCCCTTCCCAACCACCACCACCTGAGACCTTCATCCTCATGCAGAAGGCTACAGTGGCCCTTACTCATGGAAAAACACTCCCAGAAGTCTAGAGATTTATTTCAGTCTCTAACCTAGCCATGATTCTCTAGAGTGTGGAGATTAAATGCTTAAACTGGCAGTCTCTTGAGCATGCTTTGGGGAGCTCGAGTTTCTAAATCTCAGATGGAATCAGGAAAGTGTTGAGGATGCCATAAAATAAATGAAAAAGCCCTTTCTTCGCCGCTTCCCAAAATAGCATTAGGTAAGGGTGACTTCTGTTTCACTTGAACCTAATTCACTGCAATTTAGTGTAAGTCTCGGGTTATGTTCATTAGAGAAATCTTCTGAGTTTAGTAGTCTTAGGAAGAGAGTGGACTGGTGGGTGACAAGGCATGTTCTTTTCAGTCGCTGAGGGACTGAACGTGGCCTCAACTGAGGGTTGACTAAAATAAACGACCTAGGTTGCCCTTGGACTATGGTCAAAGGCCTCTTCTGTAGTGATCCTCATAACCAACAAGCCCTGACTTGGACACCGAGCTGCCTCCGGACGAGAGCAGCTGCAGTTAGAAGTGTTCCTTGTCACCTCCAATTGTCTTCTTATGTCCTATTTACGTGGGGAATGATTGTAGCCAGGTGATGATGCTGTTGTGGTCATCACTGCCATTTGTGATAGAATACAAAGCAAAAAAAAAAGGCTGGTTATATTTGATGAAGGTAAAGCTAAATGTTTGTTACCCAAATGCATTTTTTCAAGGTATTGATGGCACCTCCACATATACCAGTGGTGATCAGAAAACTATAAAGTCCACTAGGAAAAAAAACAGTGGAAAGACCCCACACCTCCTGCTAATGTTGTTGCCCTCCTACAGACTTGAGTCACAACAGTCCAACCGGCGGAAGAAGCGTGCTTTGGATGCAGCCTATTGTTTTAGGTAAAGGAAATAAAAATAAGATGAAGTAATTATGTCTGTTGACTCTTGTACTGCCTTTGCCCTTTCTTACCAATTGACCTAAAAACTGCACTTATTGCTTGAGGCCAGGTACATACAGTACAGTATAGCCATCATATCTCCCAAGGTCATTCTTCCCAGAGGCTTAAAACAGTTTTTCTGCGTTGTAGTCATCGGCTTCTTGCAATGAACCAAGGGTGAAGTCAGAAAATTAGCTCCTGAAGTTGTTTCCCAGATCTCTCGGAAGCACCTGGGGGCCGAAGAAGAAATTGAGCTCCTTGCTCCCCAAAGCAAATATAAGTTTACTTGAGGGGTATGGTGATGGGTCCTTAATTGGAAAGACTCACTATCTGTATTGGAAAACCCTCCCCTCCCCCACCCCCAACAGTAGAGTGCCCATGGTCATACCTTTTGTCATAGTAACAGATATGAGAGAAATAGAAGTAGAATGCTATTTATTGTGTCGTTAGCTACAGAATGTGAGGGACTAAAGGCAACTCAAATCTATTTCCCATTCTTATAAGAGTTCATGGTGGAGAGAGTGCTAGTGTTCTCCTGTGGTTTCTTATCAAGCCTCGTAAGAGGAAGTTTCTCTTTTTATTTTGAGAGCTGGGACGGGGGGTGGGCAGTGAGGGGTTCTCACTGATGAGAACTGCTCCAAGAGTTCATGAGTAAAATGGCTTTTTTTTGCTCGCCACAGTCGATGGTTGCACTAAGCAAGGCTCCACGTTTTTTGATCTCTGTTTCGTTCCTGGATCAAGAGACATGAGATAAAATGAAGGATTCATTCTCAAAGGAAAATGTCTTAGGTGATTCTTTGAAAATAGCTGTCGTACTTGATTCATTTTATATTTGAAAGGACAATCGAGGCTGGTTGGCAAAACTGATCTCTTCCAGCCACCTCTCTGCGTATATATAGTCATTCTAGGGAAAGGTTTGACGTTGAAGGGTATGGGCAAAAGACTCAGGGTATAGAATTCACAAGGGAAAGTAGTCCAGCAAATCATCGTAACACTCCATCGTGGAAGTCGTTCGAGATTACTATAAAACCATTCAAACCTGGCCCATGAAATGTGCTCATTGGATGCCATTTGAATGAGTGAATGAGTCATTTTTCTGACTTGGAATGAGGGGTGGGGGAAATCAGCTTTAAAATCTCCACCGCTCTTTCTTCTAACAGAAATGTGCAGGATAATTGCTGCCTACGTCCACTTTATATTGATTTCAAGAGGGATCTTGGGTGGAAATGGATTCATGAACCTAAAGGGTACAATGCCAACTTCTGTGCTGGAGCTTGCCCGTATTTATGGAGTTCAGACACTCAGCACAGTAGGGTAAGTATTTGGCCTGTGTCTCTTCTATTCTTGGGTTGCTAATGTGTACCTGCTGAGAGTATGTCCAGTGAATTCTAATTAGCCTGGTGCCCACTCATCAACACACTTGAATGGGTGCTGGAGAGATCCTTTTGAGTGATGGGGAAGAATGCCGGCTGCAGGTGAAATCAGAAGTAACAATGACCAGTTTGAAGAGTAGGTTTTGCCTCCCCGATGAGATTATAGGCAACCCGAAGACAGTGTTGTTTAATTGCTTTCTTTTTATCTTATATTCTCAACAGCTGTAAGTGATTGGTAGCTATAAAAAATCAATATGTCACTTAGTGTCACATATACAGCTAGGATGTGAAGGGAGCCAGGTCCCCATCTAAAAGAGGACCTGTTATCACCTACATCAGGGACTGTCATAGTAAAGAAAACTTTGAGGACCTCAGCTGATGGCATGGCATCGTGACTCACCAGCATATGGCAATTAAAAAGTCATTTATATAGCCAAATTATGGAAAGAGCCCAAATGTCCATCAACTGATGAATGAATAAAGAAAATGTGGGGTGTGTGTGTGTGTGTGTGTGTGTGTGTACACACACACAATGGATGGAATAAAACTTGGCAATGAAAAAGAATGAAATCTTGCCATTTGCAGCAACAACGTGGATGGAACTGGAGGGTATTATGCTAAGTGAAATAAGTCAGTCAGAGAAAGACAGATAGCGTATGTTTTCACTCATATGTGGAACTTGAGAAACTTAACAGAAGACCATGAAGAAGGGAAGGGACAAAAATAGTTACAGAGAGGGAGACAAACCATAAGAGGCTCTTAAATATGGAGAACAAACTGAGGGTTGATGGGGGCAGCAAGGGTGAAGGGAAAATGGGTGATGGGCATTGAGGAGGACACTTGTTGGGATGCGCACTGGGTATTGTATATAAGCGATGAATCATGGGAATCTATTCCCGAAGCCAAGAGCACACTGTATACACTATATGTTAGCTAACTTGACAATAAATTATATTAAAAAAAATAAAGATTAAAAAGTCATTTAACTTCTCTAAGCCTTAATTTCTTATCAGTAACAAGGAATGTTTATGTTAAAAGTGATCTTTAAAATAACAATGCCAAACTCAAGAATAGATGTAAAGAGCAAGACGATGAAATAAGTGAAAATGATTTGAAAATTAGGATCTCCAAGTCTTTATAACCCAAAGTGAACAAGAATCTAAATATTCTGTCAAGTTACTTCAGTGAGGGTAGAAGGCTAATTCAGAGAGCAAGTCCTAGATTGGATGTCATGGGTTAGTAGCCCAGATCAGCAAAGACTTTTTCTATGTAGTGATGCCTGTCCAAGCCAAGTGTTTTTTCCTGGTACCTCATAATGTAGGGTTTTAGAGATGGAAAGTTATCTTGTCCAAACATCTCATTTTTCTAAAGAAATCCAGGTCCAGATTGTGTAGATTACTTGCCCAGGATCAAACAGTTGGTGACAAACCAAAACTTGGAAGGCATTTGGAAGGCAGGCTTCCTGGCTTTATAACCAGGCCTCCGTTTGCTCTGTCTTACTGAGTTTAATTCCTGAAATGTGGCTACACATTGGGGTTATGCCTCTGTAAATCTCCTTATTAAAGAGGCATTAGAAAAATTGCCTTCACTGCAGGGTAGGAAAATGAATCTGCTGCCAGAAGGATCACATAATGCATTCAGCTGAATTCAAGAGTTTTGGGGTTATCAATTATTTTAGACCATCTGCATTATAAAATTTCTCTTTAATGCATATGAAAAATCATGTGCTAGCAGAACATGAAGTCTCTTTATTTATAAATGCCTACATATGCTCGACTTTAAATTGACAAATAGGACTCTCCTTCCTTCAGCTGTTTTCCCAACTCCCCTGTAGATTTTGGCACTCCAGGCTGACCATGTGCTTGGCCATGTGAGGAAAGCTTGCTCATGTCTGTCCCTTTGTCTGAGCTCTCTGGCCAGCCTGCTTCAACTGGGCTGTGGCCACAGTAGCTGTAATGTGGGCAAGGCCCAATTGCCAAGTAGAAACATAATTCCCCTCCCTGATACACAGAGGGAGTGTGTGAAGGCTGAGACCATGCTTGTTTTTCAAGGAGAGAGGAAGAATAACTGTCATGGTCACAAATATGTGGTTTGGACAGTTACCCAGGGAGCCAGAGGTAGCTTAATAAAGTAGTCAGTGTTGCTGCACTGAACAGACCTTCTGTCTTAGGCTGAAAAAATGGCCGTGAATGTCGAGGAAAAGGTCACTTGCTGTTTGCCTAACACATTAATGGAATCCTTGGAAATGTCTCTTTATCATCACTGGGGAACCTACATACTTCCACTGGTAAAAGTCGCATACTCCTTTGATATAAAATGGAGTTAGGGGCATAGAACCGACTCTAGAACTTTCTCTTCATTCCATTTTAGGGCTGGCTGTCCGCCTTCCAACTTAGGCACTACCATTTGCTACGTGAAATCTAAATGGAGGGTTGATTATCATTGTTGTTTGAAGCAAAACGTAAGAAAGTGAATGCGTAAAAATACAGATTTCTTTTAATATCATTCTTAATTAACTCTTAACTGCTGAACTCTCGATCGTATTTATGAAGCAATGATAAGTGAAAAGACTTGCATCTTTTTCTCTTTTAAATGAAAATGTAGGTGATATTAAATTGGCCTGAGAAGACACAGCACAGAGAGGTTTCACACTGCAGACAGGTGTCTTTTTCTGTGGCTAAGGGTAGACGAAAGCTTGGGTGGTAGTTTTAATGAAACCTGTGATTCTTCCACTTCTCCGTATATTCACTTCTTCACCGAGTGCAGGAGTCTCCTTTCATCCAGAGAAAACTTACTAGGGCCATCAGGTCAAAACAAAGTCCAGAGAATCTCTGGCCGCAAGGGAACTCTAATCTAGGTGGGAATTGGAAATATACACTAGGTTACAAAGAAGTGTAGGCACAAGAACAGATACTGAGAGGATCAGCTTTTTCGACGGCCAGGCAAGTATGTGCAGCAAAGTAGAGATCGAAGTGAAGGATTATTGGGGAAACTGTAAAATCTGTTGAATGAATGATTTTGTGCAATCTGAGCTTCTACAAAATCATCTGTTTACGATGTATGAGAAAAGGATTCTGTAGGAAAATGATGAATTCAGTGATTACTAGGAACACATATCAAGTTGACCATAATTGGGGGTTAAGAGAAGGAAATTGACCAAAAATAATTTAAATTGTCTACTGAGTACTGTGACTGATAAGATAACAGTATGGAATGGTTCTTTTTAAAGTAATTGCCACCCCATTTTTTTTCTTTTTTTTTTTTGGTTTTTTCCTATGTTTTCTTCCTTCTCCTGTGTCCTTTCAGGTTCTCAGTTTATATAACACCATAAATCCAGAAGCATCTGCTTCTCCTTGCTGTGTGTCCCAGGATTTAGAACCGCTAACCATTCTCTACTATATCGGCAAAACACCCAAGATTGAACAGCTTTCAAATATGATTGTAAAGTCTTGCAAATGCAGCTAAGATTCTTGGAGAAGTGGCAGGACGATAATCACATGGTGGTGATGATGATGAGGACGACAAGAACAATGACAATGTTTGTAACAAGAAAACGTAAGAGAGCCTTGCTTCAACAGTGTTAAAAACATTTTGAAAAAAGCGGTACTAGTTCAAACACGTTGGAAGTTTGTGGTTGTGTTTGTTAAAAATGGCATCTGAAACAAAACAAAACAAAAAATTGAAGGCTTTATTCTACATTTCATCTACTCTGTAAGCGAGAGAGACAAGAAGCAAAACCTTTTTTTTTTTAAGACAAAAATAAACACTGGAAGAATTTGTTAGTGTTAATTATGTGAAAGGAACAACCAAACAAACAGGAAAATCCCATTAAGTGGAATTGCTGTACATACTTTTCCTATCCCATGCCTCACTTGATTTTTCTGTATTGCTATGCAATAGGGACCCTTCCCGTTCTTACCTTTAGAGTTAACGGTGAGTTATTTATTGTGTGTTACTATATAACGAACATTTCATTGCCCTTGGAAAATAAAACAGGTGTATAAAGTGGAGACCAAATACTTTGCCAGAAACTCATGGATGGCTTAAGGAACTTGAACTCAAACGAGCCAGAAAAAAAGGGGTCATATTCACGGGATGAAAACCCAAGCGAGTTATTATATGACCAAGCCAGCCTGCATTAAGATAAAGACCCTGAAAGCACATGCTATGTACCAACTGCCTAAGGAAGCTTCTTGTAAGGTTCAAAACTGAAAAGCCTGTTAATAAAGGAACTTTCAGTCAGAATAAGTCTGGAAGATTTTTTTTTTCTTTTTAATTGTAAATGGTTCTTTGTCAGTTTAGTTAAACCAGTGAAATGTTGAAATGTTTTTGATACGTACTGGTCAAACTTCAGACCTGAAAGTATTGCCGTATAGCTATGCTATTGGTTTTTTCCTTCGTTTCAGATATATGTAACCGTACCTATATTATTATAATAGATGGGTATAGAAGCCAGTATAATTGGAAACACATCTGCAGATCTCCTTTGCAAACTATTAAATCAAAACGTTAACTACTTTACATGCAATGTGTAAATTTTTACCATATTTTTAATGTTCTGTAATAATGTCAACTATGATTTAGATTGGACTTAAATTGGGGCTCTATTTTTAATGATCGCTCAGAACTGTGTGTTTCCTTTAGCTGGCCAGTACTTTCGAGTAAAGCCCCTATAGTTTGACTTGCACTACAAATCTGTGTTTTATAGTGTTTCCTCCACTGTGCTTTGTGCATTGTCCATTATTATGACATAAGCTACCTGAGTCCACTTGTCCTGTAGATTTTCTTTTATTAAAAGGACAGATTCAAGTTCAGTAGTCTTCCTCCATCTTCTAAGCATCCTTACTAATCAGTTCAGATGTTAACAGTCTTCTATTTTAGGAAAATTGGGGAATATTATAGATGTATACATAATTGAGCTGAAATATTTTAGTTTTAGCAGAGGCCTAAGGATCTGACTGTAACTCGGAATCTTTGTGGCTGAGTTAAGAAAGGTTTCTGCAACTTGGCTTAAACAGTATGCTCACCGAATTCTATTGTTAGTAGAGATCAGACAGTTCATAGGAAACATCTTTTCCTTTAATCAGGTTTTTAGTGTTCTGGGGGGAAATGGAAAGATTTACATATTTCTTGATTTCTTTTTTAAGGGAGAAAAAAAAAAACGCCCTGGTCAGCCTAAGTCACTCAGTTTATTTCACGGAAGTTAAGGTTTTCATGTGTGTTCTTTGAGGGTTGTAAAGGTACAAGCCAAATCCTCCCATGATCAAAAAGTGATTTTTTTCTCTGAATGAGACTTCTCTAGATCTGAGGCGAGAATTTACCTTGCTTTAATAAATGAATGATTTGCCACATCGTTGCAGGGAAGGTACCCTTCCGCCAGGGTTTGTAGGAGATGACAGTTTGCCAATTGTCCCTTATTCAACTGTAAGATGAAAGTTAATAGGTAAAACAATGGAATATTTGCAGCGTCACCTAAAGGGCAGGATGGTGAGGTGCGAATCCAAGTGAAATTGTCTGATAACCTGTACTTCTAGATGTTTGACTTTTCCTGGCCGTTAATTAAATGACAAATTGGATTCGCAAATTTGAAAACTGGAAAAGCGAGAGGGGGGATGCCCTACTGGTGAACAATCTTTGTGTTGGGGGTAACCCAATCCCAGAAATGAGTGTGTTGATTTTTTTTCCTTCCGTTTTCGATGAATTCTATGTAAATCACTTTTATTTCTGCAGGTGTTTTCCTCTCAGATAGAATGACGTTTGTTTTGTATTATTTTGTCTTTCCTCATGAATGCACTGATAATATTTTAAATGCTCTATTTTAAGATCTCTTGAATCTTTTTTTTTTAAGTTTGGGGGTTCTGTAAGGTCTTTACTTCCCATAAGTAAATATTGCCACGGGCAGGGAGGGATGCGGGAGGGAAGGGGAAGATGTTAGTATACGGGTGGGGTGGGGCTGCAGTTTTTATATGTTAAGCAGCAGTACAGTTTTCTGGTTGGCATGGTTTAAAAAGAAATGGACTATAAGATTAGCTGTTTTGTATTTTGATGACTGATTATGCTGTATTTTAACATGATGTATGTCTGTTTTGTGGTGCTCTAGTGGTAAATAAATTATTTCAATTCTATGTTGATGTGTTTTTCCTATCATGGTGTTATCGCTGAGACTAGAGAACACCTCTCCTGCAATGAGAATCATCTCAAGCTGGGAAAGTCGTACATCTTTAAGACTGTGCTCTTATTCTCAAGGATATTCACTTCAGAAATGTCATGGTTTATAGCCCATGAGCCAGGGCATATGTACCAAGGACTAAAGAAAGCCCTGTGCAGTCTTTTTATTCTCTTGTTTATTGCTATTTGGTCATTGTTTGAGATTTAGTTTCCATCCAGCTTGACTGTCTACCAGAAAAAATGCAGAGAGATGTTTGAGCCATGCCTCGGCTTTCTGGTTCCATGTTCTGCCAACCCCAGGGCCAAAAGAACCGGTCTAGACAGTATCCCCTGTAGCCCCATAACTTGGATAGTTGCGGAGCCAGCCAGATATAACAAGAGCCACGTTGCTCTTTGGGATGGGTGTTGGGAGCAACTACTCTTCTGTTTCACCCAGACCACTGCACCAAAAAACCCTGGTTCCCGCAAAGTGCTTTGGCTGTTGCCTATAAGACCAGACTTTGCAAGTGAGTTGCCAGTCTCTTAATAAATGGAACAAATAGAAAAGCAGTTGGGGCTCAATCTGGTTGTCTTGCTTTATCTCATGAAAGAACCAGTTTGTGCCCATTGTCTAAACCTCACATGGAAACAAACCATCAATGCAAGTGTTTAGGTAGAATAGAGAATAGTCCCTTTTCTGTGATCCTCTGTGTTTCATCTTTCATACTCAACTCCTTGATAAAGGAAGTGTTTCACTTGAGCACAATTATTTCACACTTCTCTGCAGAGTGGCCAGTACCAGGCCTATCCCCCCCAGCCCACATCACCTTCATGTGATGAATAAGAAAAAGAGGGTGTCGAGGTAAAGAAGAGAATCACCTAATGGCCATATCAACTTCGCCAAGCTTGTCAACCACTCTGAGCCTTGTTTCTTTAATCTTAAAATGAGGATGAGACTGCCTGCTTTACAGGTTTTGCACAGTTTGTTTTTGCTTCCTTTTTGTTAAGTGAATCTACGCATGAAAAGAATTTCCTTTGGTGTTTGGCCTGTAGTTGCTGATCAGTAAATGGTAGTCTTGATATTTCTCAAGTTGTTCTGTCTTTGGCTTCTTAGCAATTCCACTGTAATGAGTTTTTATATTCAGACTGTAACCTGGGCCTATATTTCCCCACCTTGAGAGTGAATGTGTAAGCCCTCTAGACTCTAATCTCATAAATGGATCAAACCATCAGTTATTTCTGAGAATATTCTGTGATTCTATTTGTTAAACTTTTGGTTACATGTCTGACCAGAAATTGTTAAAAATAGCGGGGGAAATGTTCGTGTAAGTCTTTGCTTATGTCTACCATCTAAAATTCAAAGTGAAAGAGACAAAATGGTTAGTTGAATGACCCATTTCCTAAGATGATGATGCTATAATTGCACTTTGCTGAGCACCTACCAGGTACTGTTCTCTGTTAACCTGTTTAACCTCACATATTACCTTATGATGTAGGTTTTTTTTAAATATATATAACTCCATTTTACAGGGAAGTGAGCAGATGCAGAATGGTTAAATCATGTGTCCAGGATCCCCCAGTTTGTAAGGGAAGGGTCTAGAATTTCAATACACTAGCTACTAGGCATATGTGGATTTTGAGCAGTTGAAATATGTCTAATCTGAACTGAGATATAACAAAGTGTAAATGCACACATCATATTTCAAAGACACTACAAAAAAAGAATGTAAAATGTTTCATTAATTTTTGATACTGATTACATGTCTAAATAATACTATTTTGGCTATATGGGATTAAATAAAGTATATTATTAAAATTAATTTCACCTGTTTCTTTCTACTTTTTTAATACAATTACCATAAAACTTAAAATTACATACGTGGCTGACATTTGTACCCCGTGTTCTATTTCTCTAGCATTCCTTTTTGTTCTTAGGATTTCCATCTCTCCGCTTACATTGTCCATCTATCCATCTCTCTGTTCTTGCATGTCTACTTTATCCTTTAGAGCCCTTAACACATTAGTCAAAATTGTTTTAAATTCCCAATTTGATAATTGCAACATCCTTGCCATGTCTCATTCTGATGCTTTCTCTGGCTCTTCAAATTATGTTTTTGCCTTTTAGTATGCCTTGTAATTTTTTCTTGCTAGCTATACACGACATTGGGGAAAAGAAACTGCTATAAACAGGTCTTACTAGCTTAGTGTTGAGTCAGCAGGGGAAACATTCTGTAGTCTATTGGTGAGGTTTCAGTCTTTTATGGAACCTCTGCCTCTGGATTGTGAACTTCACAAGAGTTTCCCAGTTTTTTTCTCCA